AGAAGATTTACAGGTATAAAATGCAATGCCACCTCCCAGTGAAAACTGCTTCATGGATAAAATTCATCCTGTAGGACTAAATGTGGCCACCATTAATTTTGTGGCAACAGTGAGTTTGGTCTGGCAGAGCCTACAGCATTCAGAGAGGTCAGACATTTGTAGGGTCTCAGATTTTCAGGTCAAAAGGGCCCAATGTATTCACCCAGTCCAGCCTCCTACATAATCTTGTAAATCAAGATTGGATGTTTTTAGAAAAAGTGCTGCTCTAGAAATTATTTGGGGGAAGTTCTGTGGCTTGTGCTGTAATAGATGATCACAATAATACCTTCTGATTTGGGAATCTATGAATAACCCAGGCCAGAGAATCTCCCACAGTGATTCCCGCATCTGGCCCAATAATTCCTGGCTGAGCTAGAGCAGAGCTTTGAGAAAGAGACTTAAATTCTTGACTTAAATACTTTAAAAACTCATTTAAAGAAGCTTTTAGCCTGTCTCTTTTAATTTGGTGACCTCATACCAAGTGAAATTGAAGGGAAAGATCATTTCACTAAAGTCAGCTGGGTAAATGTGCTGGCCATACAGAAGTGGGACATTTGTTTCTGTAGGTATCACACACTTTTGTACATCTTGTCCTTTAAAGTTGTGTTTTCCAGTAATGATCAGAGCTGGCTGGAAAATGGAATTTCTGTTCTGTGGGAAATTCTGACATTTCTAAATTTGTGTTGGTCCCAAATGATGAGGAAAAGTCAAAATCTCGAAATATTTCATGTATGAAATATTCCGATTCAGAAAGAGCTGTAAGCAGAGTCCGAATGAGCTCTCCCCTGACATCTAGTGGTGAGCTGGGGGAGAAGATATCAGGAGCCGACCTAGTTTGCATAGACCTGCCCACTCTGCCTAGGTGCGCAGGATGATGGAGCCGCTTTGCCCAAATGATCACTTTTAGCTGCTGTTGGATTGCAAATCACTTTGGTATTGGGTGCAGGAGTGATAAAGTTTTATTATCCTTGTTGTGTGAATAGAGGGCAGCAGATCTGTGCTTGGCAGACCCTGACTGAGAGGCTCAACCTCAACTGAACTCCACTCGCTAAGCAGGGGGTAGGAGCACTGAAGCCCAGTGGAGAAATGAGAGGGTGAGGATGGGTGTCTGTACATGGTGGTGTGAGCTCTGCCTAAGAGTTCTAGACACCATTTGTCCTTCCCCCTCCCCACTGTTTAATGACAGAGCTGATTACGATTCAGTTGAGAGTCTTTTGTTTTGGATCACTAGAGCTGAAATCACTGATAACCAGGTCCAAGCATTGGAGCTGCTATGGGACAGCGTCTCTGGTAAAAGTGACTGCCCAGCCTGCACTAGCAATGAGGCTCCCACAGTAACAGCTGAAATCACTGACGGCTGTGTTAAGTAATGGGACCTCAAGACATTCCAGAGCTTGCACTAGAGGGCAGTGGTGGCGTGAGCGATGTCAGAGCAGCTGACACAGGAGTGAGTGGCTGCCAGAGCAACGGACAGCGGAGTGAGCGAGTGGCAGCAGAGCGAGTGAGCCAATAAAGTGGCTGACGGCACAGCGAGCAGTGGTGGAGCATGTGGCCCATGGTGGAGCGGCAGCTGAGGCATTGCTGGGTGTCTTTCATCCCCTGGGTGGGAGGTGAACTCACACTGATGCACCTCTAAACTCTGGGTCTTCACTGACCAAGGACAACAACTGTGAGTGGGGTGCGGTGGCGGGACAGGAAAGTGGTGTGTTAAAGGGACATTTGTTTGTCAGACTTTCACACCACAAGGTGAGAGACTGAGGAAAAGGACACTTCCCAGTGTAATCTGGTGTGGGTGTTTTGTTCATGGCCATCTGTTTTTGAATCAGGCTTGTGGTGTTTCCCCAAATTAATGCTGGGTTACTTTCCCCTTTTACTAAAAGTTTACTCTTCCATACACACACTCAATGTTTGCGAGAGGGGAACTATTGCCTCTTGGAGGCTCCCAGGGATGGTGTGTAATTTTTCCAGGCCACTGGGTGGGGGCTCAAGCCAGTTTTGCCTTGTGTTATTGAAACAGAACCCCTAGATACTGAACCCAGCCCTTGTCGCTGCCAACTCCACCTGGCAGAAGGGTGACACATAGAAACAACCTTATTGAAATGAAAGGTTTGATAATGTCAAAACATTTCATTTTGATCATTTCATACATAATATATGAAAGTCAAAATGAGAAAATTGAACTGAAATGATAAAGTTAAAACAAAGTCAAAATGAAACAATGAAAAAGTCAATATCAAATAAAAAGCTCCATTTCAATTTCAAAATGTTTCAAAACTTTTCTGTTGAAAATTTCATCAAAATCGACGAGTTCCCACAAAACGTTTCAGTTCGGAAGGGACAGCATTTTCGAATGGAAAACTGTTCAGCTGCAAATGTTTTGCTCAGCTCTGGAAATTACTGTAGACAAACACAATCCTTAAAGCAAACAACATCCACGGAGCTGTATGGTTATCTAAACAATCTCCCCTGATGTCCAGCATGACTGGAAAATGGTTAGAAACTCCACTTACCACTTGGCAGCTCTCTGCCGAGCACAGCTGCGACGTTACCGATGGCGAGTCGGAGCTTAGCAATGAACTGCAGGTTTTCAATGCTGGTGACGGTGGCAGAGCTGGGAGCAGACAGATCTGCAGTGGAGAGCACGTGCTCCGAATTCTGGCTGGCGTCTTCTTCAAAGGAGGAATACATAAAATCCTGTTCGAGAGAGAGAATTTTTAAAAATGTACAGTAGTGAACGGATAGTAACTCTGTGTAAAGGGGATGCAGTTGGTTGGGCAGGTTTTTTTTAATGACTCAACTCTTCCCTTCTCCCCACACCACACAGCAGACGTTAACCTTAAAGGCTACAAAAAATAAAACTGTTCTGGTCATTTTGAAACCGAGCCACTGATTAAAAATAACAGCCTGGGAATAAGAGTTCCTGTCTCTCTCCCCCCCGTCCACTTCTCCCCACCTTGGTTTCTATCCCCCCATATCTTCTGCCCCTCTCTGCTCCTTCCCTTCTCCCTGCTTCCCAGCTTCTATGAGCCTACAGGTAAAATTTTCAAAAGTGCCAAAGTGATTTAGATGCTGAAAGTCCCTGAACATCTATGGGACTTAGACTCCTACGTGACTTGGGCACTGTTGAAAATTTTCCCCTAAGTCTCATTGAAAGTCAGTGAGATTTAGGCTCCTAAGTACCAAAGTTATTTCTGAAAATGGGAGAACTGGCCATTAATTGTGTTTTTCTCCTTTCCTGGGTGCCCAACATGAGATACCTGGGTCTGACTTGTAGAAGTGCTGAGTATTCACAGCTGCAGCTGAGGTCAACGGGAGCTGTGCTATGAACACATAAAATGCTTTAAAAATGCTAAGTACTCTGCTTGTCAGGCCCTGGGGATCTCAGGTTGGGCACCCAAAATTAGTGGAGACTTTTGACAATTTGGCAGTAATCTCTCTGTGTCTCAGTGCAACAGCTGTAAAATGGGCATAATAATATCACCTAATCTCACAGGGGCATTGTGAAGATGAATTCATTAATGTTTGTGAGGCACTCTGATACTCTAGCAAGAGCACCATAGAATGAATACTTCTGTATTCGGAGTAGGGTCTGGGTGGTGTGCAGAGAATAAGGCGGGGGCCACACAAGTTTGTACAGCACCTAGCACAATGGGGGTATGGCCCATGACTAGTACTCTTAAGTGCTACAATAATATAAATACATAAATAAATATTGAGTAACTTCATATACTGAATGAGGCAGGGATTCTGTGGAAAAAATAGTATCTGGTTATGTAATTACAGACTGTATCGTAATGCATATGCCAGAGCACAACAAGTGAAGACTGCCCAGGTAACCTTAATTTTAGCATTTCCTAACATTGGAGTACTTGACTTTGCAACCTTAACTATTCTTTTAACATAGTTATTATGGATGTAATAAAATGTCTACATTTATCCACAGACTCTTCATGGGACTCACCTCAAAGCAGCACACTACCATGAAATAGAAATCATTGCGACTGCTTTGATTTAATGATAATACTTCCTCCATCCTGGAGAGATAGCCTTCCAGGTGTTCCTTCACATCGTCTAGTCTAGGAGGAAATGGATGTAAGTTATAAAACTGAATATACCCAATGTGGATCTGTGAGTGAAATATAGTTAATATAGCCACTAGAAGCACTAGAACCAACCTGCATCGGAGCAACATTTTCAAAAGGGAGGACTTGACAGTAGGACTCGGATCCATGCATTCTTCAAAGGGCGACAAGTCACTCGTTGGTTTGTACACTGAAACCAAAGAGTAGAAAGGATTACTTTTTTTTTTTCTGAGCACGAGACCAGATCCCCAACTGATGTGAAGCAGCCATAGCTACACTGGAGTCAATGGGTCAGATCCCCAGCTGGTGTGAATTGCCCTAAAAGCTCCAACACCAGAAGGCAAATAAAAAGAACCTCATATTTATTGCTTGGGTTTTTAATCTCATGATTTTAAAGTCACTCCCATTAGTTCTGGGGCCTGACTCAGGATATCTGAACAATTGGGATTGGCGGGATCGAGCCGTTCCTGTATTACACACATCACTCACCCTTTCTAACCTCTGGATGTTCTGAGTTAGAAGGTTTGCAAGCCACGAACTTAATCAGTTGTTCGATGATCTCTGCAGATGGAGGGATTTTGTCCCCAAAACAGTAACTACTGACAAACTCCACAAAGAATGAGTTGCACTTCCTCCTGAATTTGTTGTGACTTGCAACTGCCTCCCTAGGGCGAGAAAAAGATTATTTTTTTAAATGTCACTATTTTAATATAAAAGGTAGCAGACAAAATCAGAATGGCTGGAGGCTGAAGTTAAATATATTGAGATTGGGAAAAAAAAAGGCAAAAATTGTAACCTTGAGGATGATTAACCATTGGAACAAGTTACCAAGGGAAGTGGTGGTTTTGCCATCATCTGAAATCTTTAAATCAAGACTGAATATGTTTCTAAAAGATCTGCTATACCTCAGGCCAAAGTGATGGGCATGATGTAGACATCACTGGGTGAGATTCTCTTGCCTCATGACCTAATGGTCCCTTCTGGCCTTAAAAATCTATGAATCTACAAATCTCTCCGTGCTGAAACATGCACATAGCTCCACTACTCTTGCTAAGGGTATGTCTTCACTGGGCAGCAATCGATCCAGCGAGGGTTGATTTATCCTGTCTAGTCTAGACACAATAAATCGACCCCCGAGCACTCTCCCGTCAACTCCTGTACTCCAGTGCCGCGAGAGGTGCAGGTAGAGTCGATGGAGGAACGGCAGCAGTCGACTCACCGCAGTGAAGACACCACGATAAATTGATCTAAGTACGTCAACTTCAGTTATGTTATTTACGTACCTGAAGTTGCGTAACTTAGACCGATTCCTCTGCGGCGGGCCCCCCCCCCAGTGTAGACCAGGCCTAAGTTAAGAGCACTTGAGTGTGTACCGAGTGTAGACTTGATCCTGTAAAGTCAATAATAATTTCTGCCCGATATGAATTATTCCACATTCTGGGCAAAACAACTTTATTCACCGGGAGTTAATGTTGCCAAATTCTATCACTCATTTCAGCCCTTCTCCCAGGAATGTCAGCCCAAAGCCAATCACCCAGTAGCGTAGCTGGCGGGGTGCAGGAGAAGCAGCCGCTTCCCCCGCCTTTCCAAAAGCAGCCGGAGGAGCTGGAAGGGGCGCTCGGCATGCGGCCTGCAGCGCGGCCCAGCAGCCGCTGGTTACACTTTGTCTTTGCCAAGGGGAAATCAACTAGTGTTTCTGCACGGGGGGGTGCAGAAAGCCAGGCAGCCCCTGGTGGTGGTGGCTGGCTCGGTGTGTCCCAGTCAGTTGCTCATCGTGCTCTCTGGAATGCAGTGGAGATGGGAAGGCGCGGAAAAGGCACTGTTGTTTTTGTGAATGATGAATTCAAGGGAAATCTTTCTGGAGTGGGGTTTGCCATCCAGCAACGGCTGAGAGGGGGTCTCTTAGGCACTTGCGGGGGGGGAGGGCGCGCAGAATGGCGGCCGCGGCCGGAGGCCACATGGGTGGCATGGCACGGCCAGAGGAGCCATGGGGGGGAGGGGAGGGGCGGCCGAAGGAGGAGTCAAAGGGGCGTGGCCAGAGGAGGAGCCGAGGGGGGGGGGCCTTTTTTATGTTTGCTCCCCCTCCTCTTAGAAGCTGGCTATGCTACTGCAATCACCCAGTCCCCAGGGAGACAGTCCGCTCTAAACAAGAGCCCAAGGCAGACAGAAAATTCTCCTGCTGCTCACACAACTCCCCCTACCCAAAACTCTGCATTACCGCAAAATAACAACACACATTGTCTTCCCTAAAATTGAAACCTGCTCGCCTGCTGTGAAAAAACAGCGTAACAGCGCTACCTGGTGACAGCTGCCATAATGACCTAATTCCAGAAAAACGCTGAAAAAATCATTTATGGCTCCTAAAAATGTATCTAAAAATAATTACCTAAAATCAGAAAAAGCTGACCCCTGACGCTGGAGCCCTGGGCTCAAACCTCCAACGCGTGCTGTAATCACTGGGTGAAGGTAAGATGGGGAGCACAGAGGAGTCACTTGCAGCTTTCTGAACCTGGGACCAGCTAGTGGCCTTTGGGCCTCCAGCATAGCTTAGGGCTGCCTATGATGCTAAGGGCTGGATGCTCTGAAGCCAGCCGCCTGTCCCCCATACATGGCCTCTGCACCACTTGCAAGGCCAGGCTTGACACAGAACTGGCCACAGATACACAGGTGCTGATTTTTGTTTTTGACAATGGGTGTCCCACCCCCACTCTGCCCCTCCCCCTAGGCTCCTCCCCTACTCTGCTCTCTCCTGAGGCCCCGCCCCCACTCTGCCTCTTCCTGCCCCCTGAGCGCCTCCCACTCCCTCTTCTGTGCCTCTGCCCCCGAGGCTCCCCCTCAACCCTGCTGCCGCTCGCTCCTCTTCACCCCCTCCCCTGAGGCTCCCCCTGCTCGCTCCTCTCCGCCTCTTCCTCAAGGCTCCACCGACCTGCCCACCACTCACTCCTCTCTACCCCCACTGCCGAGCACCTCTTGCCTGCTGCTTGGTCCTTTCTGCCCCCTCCTGCCTTAAGGGTGAGTGACAAGGGTTGAGAGTGAAGAGGAGCTAGCAGCGGGAACCACTGAAGCCGCGGCCAGCCCTAGGGGGCTGATCCATGGCCAGCCCCGTGGGTGCTGAGCACCCCCAATTTTTTTCTGTCGGTGCTTGAGCCCCGGAGCACCCACAGAGTCAGTGCCTATGCACAGATACCATTTTCAAAAGCATGATTCTTAATGGGACTTAGGTTCCTAAATCCTAAAGCCACATTGGAAAATGCTACTCTACATCAGCTCTATGTGGGGAGATGCACCCGCTTTCAGTCCCCTTTTGTCACCAGAGCGTTACAAAGGGGCCAGCGTGGGAAGCAGCACTGAACGCCCCCCTTTATAATCTGCAACTTCAGATATTTACAATCCCAGGGCCCCAGTCCTGCAAAGGGATCAGTATGTGCAGACCCTGGATGCACAAAGTCCCATTAAAGCCATTGCTCACGGACAGACCTATCTCGGCAAATCCTTCAGCAGAACAAGGAGCTATGTCCGGTAACAGTCTGGGAGAGGGAGCAGCCCGTTTTTCTAAGAGCTCCCAGAAATGTAGTGGAGGGGTGTGGAAGAAAAGCAATTATTCTGGCCACGCTGTCAGTAACTGAGATTAGTGGGAATATTACCGCTAAACAAGTCTCCCAAATCACAGAGTCAGGCGACTGTGCGATACCTGGTGATCTGGGAGGCGGTGGGCACGTAATCCTCGGGGACGCTCTCCTTGCAGATCTTGCACTGCCGGATGTTCCACTCCCGGATGCACTGAGTGCAGAAAATGTGACCGCAGGGCAGCTCAGCTGGGTCAGTGATCTCGTTCTGGCAGCTTTTGCACTCGTTCACGCCCTTCCTGAAAGACACCACGAGAGCAAGATGCAATTCACAGGGTCTGATTCTCTGCTGCCTTGTGCCTTACAGAGTCCACAAATAAATAAATAAATAAATAACAAAGCCTTGCATAGCTGGGCCCAAACTCCATGGCAATCTACATAAGTCTGATTGCCACAGGGTGGCTGGAAGCAAGTCCTGCTCCCCTCTGCCAGAACTGGTGCTTCCAGTTTGGTCAATTAAAAGGCAGAGCAGTACCTGAGGCTACAAAGGATCAGTGAGAATCAGAGAAGTCCCTGAAGGAAGCTGCAGGAGGTTCCTGGGGAAAGGCTGAAGGCAGGGGAGCAGCAGAAGGGTTTGCTGGCTGACGTCCTCAAGCCAGAGAGCCAGGGCCAGAGGGCTGGAGAGGGTTGAAGGCAAGGGGAGCAGCAGAGGGGATTACGTAATGACATCACCACCGAGAAGAACTGGGAAAAGTTAGTGTAACAGGAGGAGTGATGGATGCTCCGTGGTGAGGATGATCGCTCAGCAGAGAGGCTGGGGGGAGTGGGGGTGGGCATTGCCACTGGGAAGAGTAGGGTTGCACCCCAGCTGGAGGGGCTGGGGTGGTTTTCTGGGTAGAAGGACAGGAGAGGACCGACAAAGAGCAGTGGTGTGGTGGAAGATGCCAGAGAGTGGTATGTGCTACATTGGTGCTGTCATGGGATTTTAAGGACTATTTGTGCTGCGGGTTATAAATGGACAATGTTTTGGGACTCTTGTTCTGGGTTCTTTGCACTAGTTTTTTGTAATAAGTTGGCCCCAAGGAGGAGTATTTTTGAGGCAAGAGAGCCTGTTGGGGAGGCCTAAGGGGCCCAAGAGGAGAAGTGGAACATTAGCCCTGGTGTGAAGGTGCCCTGCCACGAGGGGCGCTCAGGGGAGGGGGAATCGTTCACACCCGTGGTCCGTAATGCAAAATGTTTTCCATATGTGTGGGTACAGCACTGAATGGTGAGTTACATGGTACATGGAAATAAAAATATTGTCAGGAAATAAACTAACTTGCAAGCGTAATTAATAGACACATTGCCTGCTAAAAATGCTCTTGCTGAAAATTTATCCACAATGGTCTTTTTTGCTTCTTTGCGCGACTTACACAAGGTAGACGGTAGCAGCATTGTTGCTGCATCTCTTCAGCACTTTTGTCACAACTTCAAAAATCTTTGCTGGTTTACGGTCTTCAGTTTTGTACAGTAACTACAGAAAATAAAGCAAGTGAATGTCATTACATTCTAAGTGACAAAAGAAGTGTTAAAAAGGTTACATTTGCAAAAGCAACCACTCAAAAGTTAAGCTATGCCAGCATCAAAGTTGCCCATTTAACCTTAACTCTGCCCCTTTAGGGCATGCATTCCGATAGTCTTGTACAACATCACATAGAAAGTCTGGGGCAGAGCCCAGATTAGATCCCAAGTCTCCTGAGTCCCAGGCCGCACCCTTAAACATTCTCCCTCATTCACTGTTCATCCTGTGCACTGAGTGAGGCTGGAGTCTGACAGAACACCTGGCATGTGATCATGTAATTAAAGGCTGTATTGTAATGCAGAACCACAGGGGGGTGAATTAAGGTTACAGAGGTTTTCAGAGAGATCTGAGGCCAAACTTTGAAAACTTGGTTGCCTGATGTTACGCATACATATCCATCACTGGGCTCACCAGCTGAGAAAGGCTGGTCCAAACGTGTTGTTGACAGAAAACTGGGTTATTGACTAACAAAAACTTTAATGGATGTTGTCTGTGTTCCTGCAAAAACTTGTTTTTTGTCAAAAAAACAAAACCCTGAAACATGGAAATTATATTTTACACTACAATACCCACATATTTTGTATAATCTAATACCCAAATATTAAGAATCAAAACATTTGAATCAACCCAAAACTAATTGTTTCCCCCCAATTTTTCTTTATGAAAATTTTGGAATTTTCAGTTTTTGTTCCAATTTGCAATGAAGCCAAATCTCTGTATCCTTTGCCAAACAGATTTTCTGTCTTATGTAAGGCTCTAATTCTGGGTGAAGAATGGATTTTTCGGTTCACTGACAATTCCAAAAAAAAAATGGGGGGAAAAACTAGCTTCATGTCAAATTTGTTTAGAATCGAACATAACATTTTGGAAAAAGCCGAAACATTTTGTTTTGATTCCAACCATTTTTAATTTTTAAAAATTGTATTAAAAAGTAAAATTAAAGGAAATTTTGAAATGGAAAAGTCATTTTGAACCAAAAAATGGAAATGTTTTGATTTTTTCCCTGATTTTTTTCTTTGTAGCTTTTTTCTGACTGAAACTATTGTGATATATAATAGTATATGTTGTCAAATGTTATAAGCCATTTGGGCCTAGTATAAATGCTGTGTGCTTGACATGAGTACATGAGTTGCGTGTTGGCAACTGAAGCAAGGATTTAAGGTTATGAGTGGTCAAGGATTGTCTGTGCCAAAACAACTTTGTCACGTCCATAGGAGGAAATGGAATGTCTTGGATTATGGTGGCTTGCCAGGAACCGTTTTCCTGGAGTTATGGGTACAAGGCTTAGTAAACAGACAAAGAGCTGATGATGCAACGGACGGACTGGGCTATAAATAGTTGCCTGACATATCTGAAATTTGGAGTCAGACATTGATCCAGAGCTCTGATAAAGAAGTGATGTGTAGTGCAGGGCTCCCCATGCTTTGTGATTGGAGCAGACCTTGACTGGCCTTTGGGACTTCGCTCTAATCTTTGGAGTCTGGTGTAATATGAAAGGGGTGTGAATGTGGAGTGAGTGTGGGGTTATATTGTAATCAATACAAAAATTTAGAGTATTATAGACCAACACTGTGTCTGATATCTGCCTCCTCCCCCATCCTGTAGTGAGGCATCTATCAGAGCCTAACAAAACAATTTGGCAAGACCAACATGAATTCAGGAAGCATTTTGGTATCGCCAAATCTGCATTTTTCTTCAAAAAAAGTTTTGGATGAAAAATGTCTTCCAGTGGTCCTCCTTCCCAACTCTGCTGGGTCCTGGGGGCTGTAGCCTCTCGTTCAATGAAGTTTCAAAGGGGCAGTGGGGCGCTATTTTATACACCTACATTCCAGAGGAAGACAAACTGCTTCACAACGAGCTTTAGCAGCTTCTCATCCACGTTGGTTTCATCGTGTAGCAGGTGATCGATGAGCAGGTAGACGATGTTGGTGCAATTCCATTGGTGTCTGAAAAAGAGACAGAATTGCCTCACTGCGAGTAGCTGCGCCTTGTCTGCTGGAAAAAATAATTCTTCCCCACATTTTTGGACAAAACCAACCACCTGGATACTGGGCCCAGTCCTATTTAACATATTCATAAACGATCTGGAAAAAGGGGTAAACAGTGTGGTGGCAAAATTTGCAGATGATACAAAACTACTCAAGATAGTTAAGTCCCAGGCAGACTGTGAAGAGCTACCAAAGGATCTCACAAAACTGGGTGACTGGGCAACAAAATGGCAGATGAAATTTAATGTTGATAAATGCAAAGTACTGCACATTGGAAAACATAATCCCAACTATACATATACAATGATGGGGTCTAAATTAGCTGTTACCACTCAAGAAAGATCTTGGAGTCATTGTGGATAGTTCTCTGAAAACATCCATTCAATGTGCAGCGACAGTCAAAAAAGCGAACAGAATGTTGGAAATCACCAAGAAAGGGATAGATGATAAGATAGAAAATATCACATTGCCTCTATATAAATCCATGGTATGCCCACATCTTGAATACGTGCAGATGTGGTCACCCCATCTAAAAAATGATATATTGGAATTGGAAAAGGTTCAGAAAAGCACAACAAAAATGATTCGGGGTATGGAACAGCTTCCGTATGAGGAGCGATTAATAAGACCGGAACTTTTCAGATTGGAAAAGAGGCAACTAAGGGGGGATATGATAGAGGTCTATAAAATCATGACTGGTATAGAGAAAGTAAATAAGGAAGTATTATTTACTCCTTCTCATAATACAAGAACAAGGGGCCACCAAATGAAATCAATAGGTAGCAGGTTTAAAACAACACAAGAAAGTATTTTTTCATGCAACTCACTGTCAACCTCTGGAACTCCTTGCCAGAGGGTGTTGTGAAGGCCAATACTATAATGGGGTTCAAAAGGGAGCGAGATAGATTCATGGAAGATAGGTCCATCAATGGCTATTAGCCAGGATGGGTAGGAATGGTGTCCCTAGCCTCTGTTTGCCAGAAGCTGGGAATGAGTGATAGGGGAATGGATCACTTGATGATTACCGGTTCTGTTCATTCCCTTTGGGGCATCTGGCATTGGCCACTGTCAGAGGACAGGACACTGGGCTTGATGGACCTTTGGTCTGATCCAGTATGGCCGTTCTTATGGAGATAGGAACTGAACACGTAAACAGGTCCTTCAGCTCACAATCCCCTCAGGCTAGCTGTGATGGCTTGCAATCAGGGACACCCCTTACCCGCTGCTCAGAGCAGTTTACAGAATGAAGGGGAAGCTGATACAATGGGGAAATCAAAGGGAAAAAAACCTTTGTCCTGTCCTCTGCTGTCTGCGTAAAGCTTGGAAACTCTTGGTGGGAATATGGCCCAAGGTTTCTAAGTGGATTTGCTCTGAAGAAAGGGCCACGGCAGGACTAATATCTGGGGTTTTAATAGGAATGTAGGACTGGAAGGGATGACTTGGGCCGTAGAGTCCAGTCCCTGCTATCACTGGCAACCCCGTCAGATAATCCTGTTCATAAACGTATCAAGCTTCATCTTCAAACCAGTTAGGGTGTGTCGTCCCCCCTTCCACCCCCGCTCCTATTGGAGGCTCTTCCAGAGCCTCCCTGCCTCTGATGGTCAGAAACCTTCTTCTCATTTCCAGCCTAAATTCAGCCACGGGCTTTTTTTGTCTGTCACACAGAGTAACATAGTGGCAAAGTAACAGGCTTTTATTTGCTATGTAGACCAACCACTAATGGGGTCACAGCAAACACTGAGTCACCATCTAACAGAGAGTTGATTGGAACATGTAGGAGTTTTTTTTCCCCTTGGAAAATTATGACTTTTCATTGAGAAAACAAACCCGACATTTTCTTCAGTCACTGAAGTTTTTGGTTAAAAAAAAAGGCAAAAAATCAAAACATATTTTCCAGATGAAAACTGCTGGAAAATTTTTAATTTTCAAGTTTTTCTATATACATTTGTAAAATTCTGAGGAAATCTGACACTGTCTGCAAAAAAATTTATTTAAAGGAAAACCCATCTTTCTGTCGGGGTGGAAAAAAAGTTTTCACAGAAAAGTTTTGACTGTTACACGTTTTAAAAATGTTTATATTCTTTAAAATACACAGACAGTTTTTGGGGGGGATGGGTAACACTTACAATACGCTGTTCAATAATTCCTCTTTGTTATCATAAAGTCTCATCTGGTAGTCGTCCAATGTGATCAGCTCCACAGTGTGCTTAATGGACTTGATCCTTTTCAGCCAGCTCAGGCAGGCGTTGAATGGCAGAAGTGCCTTCTCTGTGGGCTGCAGCTGCTTCAGGACGATGCTCACGGCATCAAGAGCTACAAACTAAAATATTTAAAAACAAATCCCGTGAGTTTCTGAGCTAGCCATTGTGTTTCGGGGTGAGGGGCAAAGAGGAGAGAAAACAACGGGGCAGGAGTATCACTTGCTGAAGGGCTGAAGCAATGAAACTGGAGCAGGTTATGAAGGAAGGACCGGTGGCGGCACACACATAAATACACGCGCACACACATACACTCTCAGGCAAGATGTGCTCATCAGCAGGGACTGAGCTCTGGTGGTTCAGCATCAGCGGCAAAGACCCCCACCACCTGAGCTAAAGCGATAACCCCACTAATGGCGACAGGAGCAGGAGTCGAGATACAGTCACAACTACTGCGCCAGCGTGTTACACATCCTGCTGCCGAGGCAAAGGAACAAGGAAAGGGGGGAGAGAAATCCCACGTTTGTTTCCAAGCAGTGCAGACTGTAACAGTGCCACAGAACATCATTCCCCCTCCTCTTCAGGACCTAAGTGCCCTGAGTCGAGGATCTTGTCACCTAATCAAGTTTTAAGCCTGCTCTAACGCCCCATGAAATCAATCCATCTTCCCACTGATATCGACGGGAGTTGGAGCCAGCCCTTAACCATGATATTACATTGGTTCAGGCTGCCGTGGATTTAATCTGGTTTGGCTTGTTAATGCGGTCCATGGCAGGTATAAGCCATTTTTAAAGAGTGGTTAAAACTGGTTTGGATAACACAGCTCCTGGTCCAGTGTAGACGGCACTTGCATCACACAAAACCAACTGGCTTAAAATTGTAGTGACCATCTCCCAATGCCGAGGACATTATATGATACAAAGCACATGTGGCTTGGCAGCAGCACTGCTCAGAAGGATCTGGGAGTTGTGGTGGATGTGATGTTATACCATTAAAATATAACCATGTATATCATGTTGCTACCATTGTTATATAATTGCTGCAAATATTACACAAAGGATATCATGTAAGGTGTGAATGGAAAAATTATGATTTGCTGAATACAATTATCCTATTTGTATGCATGTGTCATTGTTGTATCTGTCATTATGAATATTGACTATGAACCAGTATTTCAAATCTGTTTGCTCCTGGGGTGACACCCACCATCACTGCTTCAAACCTGATACGAGAATTTTGCAATGTGTGTATGTATTTGATTCCATTGATCATTTTAACTCTCACCTCTTTCTTTTCCCTTATAAATAAAACTTTAGCTATTAGATACTAAAGAATTGGCAATAGTGTGATTATTGGGTCAGATCTGAGTAATACATTGACCTAGTTGTGTGACTGGTCCTTTGGGATCAGAAGAACCCTTTGTTTGATTAAATTGGTTTTAAATAACCACTCATCATTACCTCTAGTGTGTGGGTGGTGAAACGAGGACTGGTATACCTAAGGAGACTGCATTTCTGACTTCGTTAGCCAGTATGGTGAGACAGAAGTTTTCTTTTGTTAGAGGTGTGGTATATCTTATGGAAGAATAACCATTGGTTTGGGGTGAGTCTGCCCCATTTCTCAGCAGTTTGTCCTGAATTTGGAATTCTCAGTTGTGACCCACTGAGACACAGTGACAATAGATTACAACCTCAACATGAGTCAACAATGCAATGATGTTGCAAAAAGAGCAAATGCAATTTTGGGTTGCATTAACAGAGGCATATAATGCAAGTCATGGGAGGGGATAGTATTGCTCTTCCCGGAGCTGGTTAGGCCTCAGCTGGAGTTCTGTGTATAGGATGTAGAGAAACTAGAAAGGATCCAGAGGTGAGCGACAAAGATGATCAAAGGGATGGAATGCAAACCATATGAACAAAGGCTGAAGGAACTGGGTATGTTTAGTTTGGAAAAGAGAAGATTAAGAGGGGACATGATAGTGGACTTCAAACACTTGAAAGGCTGCTATTAAAATATGGAGAAAATTTATTCTCTATTGTCACAGAACAAGAGGCAGAACGAGAGCTGATGGGTTCAAACTACAGCATGGCAGTTTAGGATTAAATCTCAGGTAAATCTTCCTAACTGTAAGAACAGCAAGACAATGGCACAGGGAGGTGGTGGAAGCTCCTTCAGTGGAGGCTTTCAAAAGGAGGCTGGATAACCATCTGTCTTGGATGGTTTAGACACAGCAAATCCTGCATCTTGGCAGGGGGCTAGACTAGATGACACTTGTGGTCCCTTCTAACCCTGTGGTTCTATAGATTCTGTGAATGGAATCAGGGAAATACATGGAGGATTCCTAGAATCAGAGATTCTAAGGCCAGAAGGAACCACTGTGATCACCTAGTCAGACCTCCTGCATGACACAGGCATGACACAGAATCTTGCTGAATTCATTCCTGCTTGAAGCAGAGCAGATGTTTTAGAAAAACATCCAATCCTGATTTAAAAATTCCCAGTGATGGAGAATCCACCACGACCCTTAGTAAATGGTTCCAATGGTTAATTTCCCTCACTGTTAAAAATTTGCACCTTATTTCCCGTCTGAATTTGTCCAGATTCAACTGCCAGCCACTGGACCTTGTTATTCCTTTGTTTTCTAGACTGAAGAGGCTTTTATCAAATATTTGTTCCCCACATTGGTACTTATAGACTGTGATCAACTCACCCCTTAGCTTTCCTTTTGTTAAGCTAAGTAGATTGAGCTCTAAGAGTCTGTCACCATAAGGCAGGTTTTCTAATCCGTTAATCATTCTCATGGCTCTTCTCTGAACTCTCTCCAATTTATCAACATCCTTTTGGACTTGTGGGCACCAGAACTGGACACTACTCCAGCAGCATCCACCCCAGTGCCAAATATAAAGGTAATGCAACCTCCCCACTCCTACTCGAGTTTCCCCTATTTATGCATCCCAGGATCGCATTAGCCCTTTTGGCCACAGTGTCGCACTGGGAGCTCATGATCAACTGATTAACCGCCATGACCCCCAGTCTTTTTCAGAGTCACTGCCTCCCGTGATAGAGTCCCCTATCCCGTAAGTGTGGCCGACAATCTTTGTTCCCATACATATACATTTAGCCATATTAAAACACACATTATTTTCTTACCAAGCGATCTAGATTGCTCTATATCAGTGACTGCTCCCTTCATTATTTACCACTCCCCCAATCTTTGTGTCAACTGCAAACTTTATCAGTGATGATTTTATATTTTCTTCCAGACCATCAATAAACATTTTAAATAGCATAGGGCCAAAATCCAGTCCCTGTGGGATCCAGTAGAAACACACCCTCTCGATGATGATTCCCATTTACAATTACAGGTTGAAAAGAGCAACAATGAACCACTGTTCAGGTAACCTCGCTCACCATTTTAGTTGTGTCTTCTTTATAAACTTTCTGCAGCTCATTGGCTAGAGTCTCCTCATTCTTCACTAAATTGATGATCAGCTGATAATTCTCTTGTAGGTAGAAATATTCAATGTGCAACCAAATCAGGGAAAACCCCACCTCGTCCTGTGTCAAAGAGGTGCAGAGCTCCTTTGCACCAGTTATGAGAACATTAGACAGAATCTGGTGATAAAATAAATGGTATTATTTCTACTCATCATCAACCACATAGAACTAAGTTCTCTGTTGCTGCCATGTTTAATGAAAGCTGTATGAAATTTTCATCATCACTAATTCTAACCCAAGTAAAAAAGAAATGCTAAAATGCAATTAAAGTTGAGAGCACTTAGCGGTAATTTAAGAGCAAATACAGGGTTTCAGTAAAGTGCATTTATCAAAATACAGAACAGTTGGACAGGAAGTGGTTTTATTTTTGGCAGCCAATTTTGACTCTAAAAATCAAAACCAAAACCTTTTTTCCAAAAAAACTCAGGCAAGATCGTTTTGCTATAAAAAAAAATCTACAAAAAAATTGAAATTTTTTAAGGAAATCGGACACTTTCTGCTTTAGCTGGGGATCTGGCCCCATTGACTCCAATGTTGTTATGGCTGATTGACACCAGCTGGGGATCTGCCCCCATTGACTCCAATGGAGTGAGGGCCGATTTACACCAGTTGGGGATCTGGCTGTAAGTTTTTAATTTTTTCTGCATTAAGTTTAATATGTCTACTATACCATTGGTAATCTCACCCCAACCATTCAGACTGATGATGTTTAAAAGTGCTTTTCTGCAGAAACCCATTTACCTCATAAACCTGAACATCTTGCCCTGGAAAAGCCATCCTCACAAAATCACTGGCATAACGCTGAACCATTTCTGGACTATTGCCATCTGGCACTGGCATATTCAAGATAGAGCTTTGAAACATCTCAGCAGAGTCCACAGTAGGGTCCTTTGGATAACCTAGGATGTCACAGAATGAACAAAGGAGAGGGGCTTATTCAGTTATAGCAGATCACTATAAATATTGTTTAGTAATTATTAATATGCAAGTGAATGTGGGGGGGCAAGAGTATAAGCATGGCAGGGCAATGAGAATCCTGTTTTTCTCCATTATAAATGGCTACTTGTTAGAATTATGATGCAGTGTTCTAGGTCATTCTAGTTGGGTGGGGCGGTTCTAAGTTATTCTAGCTGGGTGGGGAGAGGAGCCATTGACTACCCATTCAAGGAATGAAGGACTGAGTTTGCAAATGACAAGAAGGCTCAGACAGTCCTACAGGGCAATCTTCAATGAGGAACTCTTTCCCCCACCAGCAAGACTCCTCTAAGCAGCAGAAGATTAAGCACAGACTCCACTGGCTTGCACATCTGAGACCCAGTCTGAGAGTACCTAGATCCCCAGATCTATCTACAGATTCCTTTCCCAAGTCACTGATTTCCAGGATACAGTCCACATCTGGTAAGAGTGACCTACATTCCTTGATCCTTGCATTTGGCTGAGTTAAAAGTAACGCTGGTTGGAAAATGGATTTCTGTCCCATGAAAAATTTTGATATTTTGCATTTTTTTTGTTACAAATCATGACAAAAAGACAAATTCTGAAAATTTTCACACAATTAAGTTATGCTTTTTTTGTTTGGGTCAATCAAAATGATTATTTTTGATAAATTTGAAATGGTTTGTTTTGATTTGACCATTTTTATTTAATTTTGTATGTATAAAATAAACTTTAAACCAATGTCCTTTAGAAACAAAAAAATTGAAAATTTTATCGTGAAAATGTTGAAACAAGATGTTTTGTCATTTTCTGAACATTTCTTCCCAATTTGTTTTCTAACAAAATTTCATCTAAATCAACAAAATATCATGAAAAGTTTCTGTTTTCTGACACCAAACTGTTTTGACTAAAATTTTTGAACCAACTTTAGTTAAGCACAACCAAGACTCCCAAGTGATGCGAATTCCACCCCATACCTAGGTGAGCTGGGCCAATGGCTCATCCCTGTTAATTTCCCTCCCTGTTAAAAACGTACTACTTATTTCCTGTGTGAATTTGTCTCCCTCCAGCTCCAACCCAGTGGATCTCGTTCTGCTTCTCTCTGCTCGATCACAGAGCTCTCTATTACGAGACATCTCCTCCCCATACAGCTCTTCTTTAAACCTGTTCTGGATTTACTCCGACAAAAGCAAGAGGAGAACAGAGTCCAATATTTTCTTCCACTGCAGCTAATTTTAATAGACGCAGAAAGTGTGAAGTTACCTTTCACCCGATGGACTGTCTCCCATATCTCGTCCAGGCGAGCTTTCAGAACCCAGCTGAATGGAAAGCAGCACTGTGTGGACCTGCTGGGGTCTTCGCTCATTGATAACACAGAAATCTTAGCATCAGGGGCCCTTGAGTGTTTAAAATAAACATATTATATATAATATACATATAATCTTGCTAAGTTCTCAGCCTCAATGACTTCCTGTGGCAGTAGGTTCCAGAGGATAATTACGTGTTGTGTGAAAAAAACATTTCCTTCGACTGGTTTTGAATTTGCTGCCTTTCAATGTAATCAATTGTTCCCTTTGTAAAAGGATGATCTACCCCTTTAGGGGCCATAAGTCTGGGGCCAGCCAGCCTATTCGTCTATCAGACCTGACTAGGAAGGGATTAAGTGTTCTCTCTCAAGGGCTGAGACTGCTCAGTTGGGGAAGAGCTGCAAATACGTCAGACAGAAAAGAAAGATCAAGGATGGTGTGGGTCTGCTGCTCAAAGGAAAAGGTGAGCTGGTAATGGACGATAAGAAGGTGGAGATGCTCATGCCTACTTTGCTTCTGTCTTTACACAAAAAACAACATGTGATGATGATTAGCAAAGTTATCATAGACAGTAAAGGGGGCGGGTTGCAGATCAGGATAAGTAAAGAACATGTCAGAGATCATCAGGGTCTGATGCTGGTCACCACAGAATGCTGAAGAAATATCAAAGCCACTGGCAAAAATATTTGCAAACTGATGGATGGCAGGAGAGGTCCTGGAAGACTGGAGAAGGGCTAACATGGTGCCTGTCTTTAAAAAGGGAGAAAAGTAGGAGCTTGGGAACTATAAACCCGTCAGCTTGACTTTGATATCTGGGAAGCTATTGGAGCCATGTATAAAACATTCAATTTGCAAATACCTGGAGGATGAAGCGGTGACCACTAGCAGCCAGCATGGAGTTACTAAGAACAAATCACGACAAACCAGCCTGATTTCTTTCTTTGACAAGGTAACTGTTTTGATGGATATGGAGAATGTGGTGAACATAATATACCTGGACTTCAGCAAGGCTTTGACACAGTCCCACATGACATTCTCATGACGTAAGTAAGCTGGAGAAATTCAGCCTCAGTAGAACTACCAATAAGTGGATGCATAACTGTATAAACAACCGCAAACAAAGAGCAACTATTAATGGGATGATGTCAGACTGAAGGGAGGTCTCAAGTGGGGTTCCACAGGGATCTGTTCTAGGTCTGGTGTTGTTTAATATCTTTATTAATGACCGGGGTGTAGGAATAGAGAGCATATTGATCAAATTTGCAGATGACAAAGCTAGAGGGGTTGCCAACACTTTGGAGGATAGAGCTAAAATTCAGAGGGATCTTGATAAATTGGAGTACTGGGCTACAGACAACAAAATGAAATTCAGCAAAGACAAATGTGAAGTGTGGCACTTAGGGAAGAAAAACCAAATGCACAAATACAGAATGGGGGGAAACTGTCCTGGCAGCAGCACTGCTGAAAAGGATCTGGGAGTTGTGGTGGATCACAACTGAACATGAGAATCAACAATGCGATGCTGTTGCAAAAAAAGCAAATGCAATTTTGGGTTTCATTAACAGAGGCATAGCATGTAAGTCACAGGAAGTTATAGTACTGCTCGACTCAGCACTGGTTACATCTCAGTTGGAGTACTGTGTCCAATTTTGGTCACCGCTGTATAGACAGGGTGTAGAGAAACTGGAAAGGATCCAGAGGTCAGTGACAAAGATGATCGAAGGGATGGAATGCAAGCCCATAAGAGCAAAGGCTGAAGGAACCAGGTATGTTTAGTTTGGAAAAGAGAAGATTAGGGGGGGACATGATAGCAGCCTTCAAACACTTACTTGCTGCCATAAAAAAGGATGGAGAAAAAATTGTTCTCTCTTGTTTCAGGGCAAGAGGCAGTGGGTTCAAACTACAGCATGGCAGTTTAGGAATAAATCTCAGGAAAATCTTCCTAACGGTAAGAACAGCAGGACAATGGAACAAACTGCCAAGGAAAGTCGTGGAAGCTTCTTCACTGGAGGTTTTCAAAAGGAGGCTGCATAGCCACCTATCTTTAGACACAACAAACCCTGCATCTTGGCAGGGGGCTAGACTAGATGACTCTTGCAGTCCCTTCTAACTCTATGGCTCTGTGATTCCAACACTCCCTTCTGGTCTTATAATCTATGTATCTATAAATAAATAAATAAATAAATAAATAAGAAGAACAATAACAACTATAATAATGATGCATATAAAAGCTGGCACAAATGGCTTTGCCTGTAATTCTGTGCCCATAGTTGTCTGACTAAATGTTTGGCTTCCCATACAGTGAGTTCCATACAGTTGCGATACAGTGAGTTCCATGGCTTAATCTTCTATACATCTGTTGCCTTCCCACTTCACTATGCATCTACTCATCTAATGAACACACTCTCCACCATCCCAGACTCTCTCACTGCTCTCGTTGCGATAGCACTGTACCTTTGCAGATCTGGAGAGAGGTTGGTTTTCTCAATCCTGAATAGAGATTGGTCAGGAATTTTCTGATTAAACATTATTTCATTGGAAAATCACGACTCATTGAAACCAAAACAGTTTGCAGAAAAAGGATCGGTTTCAACAAGCCTCCTGATTTGAGCAATTTTTGGAAAAAGGTTTCAAAACCATTAAAACATCCTGTTTTGACATTTTTGAAAAAAAAAACCACTACAGTTTTGGTTTATAATTTGAAATGACTTTCCACTTAGCCATTGTAGTTAATTTATGCTAAAAAAGTAAAACCTTTTTTTAAAAAGGTCAAAATCTAAATTCAACTTTATGATGGAGCCGAGATTATTTTCAGACTATCAGTTTGTGAAAATTTTCAAGATTTCAACTTTTTATTCCAATTCAGGATGGGGAAAAAATGTTGAAATCTCAAAAACTCTTGCAGGATGGGAAAAGTGTTTCCCACTCAGATCTAATCCTGAGAGTCTGAGCTTTCCTAGTGGTTTCTTACTTGCTGGTATACTTAATCTTCAGAAATGATTCATCTTTGAACATCTGGAGCCAGAGGTCAGAGATAGGAGTTTCTTGAGAGATGTGATCCAAGTTGTTGTTTGCATCAACTACTGCTAGGATTTGAGCAAACATGTTTGCCAGAATGTCTTCCAAATGAATCCAGACAACATGCCTTAAAAAAAAAGGAAAAACATGTCTTATAAAATAATTCTTTCAACTCTCCCTCCCTCCCCAACCAGCTCATTCTGTGTGTCTGTAACATGAGGGTTGCTTAGCAGGGCTGGGCCCTAAGATACAACTATGTAAACATCCAACAATCACAATAAAGCAAAGTCATCCACACAGGACAAAACAGGGAGCACCATTGTGTCTTGCGTGGTGACTGGACAC